TCTGCAAGCTCGCCCATAGTCATCGCTCCAAGTAACGGTTTTGGTACTGGCACGGACCTCGGCTCTGGTATAGGACCTGTCTACACAGGTGCCACTTCATACGCATACACGACTCAAACTCATGATGGCCAAGGAGTTTCAAATGGCGGTAGTTCTAGCATGGTCTACCCGCCGCCGAAGTATTCATTCAGCTGGAAGTTCAACACTAGTACTACGCGTCAACCCGTTGGAACTGGCGCTAGAGTGCCTACTGGCAACATCCCTCATCTACCACCTCCTCGACCTTCTCCCCACGGAGGCAACAACGAAACTGATGCAACGTGTGGAGGCACCACCGTCAATATTCCCGATGCGACACTAGACTACTGGTACACCACGACACTTGACTATGCTGCAGCCACGTTTTCTATCCAGTTTGATAGCAACGATTCTGCTACAGGATGGACACTTCTACCTGCTACAACCACTTTCAATGTCACTGATGCCTTACAAGACCCCACTACATATTATATTCCAACAACAATCACGAAACAAGCTGCTAGCACGAACCACGCTGCTAGCACTTCTGTCTCGTATTATACGACAGTGGATGTGAGCCCGACACCTGTTTATGCGTCCACAGTTGTTGTCACTCAAACAGCAACCAGTGCAATCAACTCTACCACCGGCATGGGCGACATACCCGCTGACGCTGTGATTACTCCACCACCTGCAAGCACTGTACTGTCCGCCGGACCAAATCAACCCTCTCTCACAGCATTGACAAACACTCATTTTGTGTACTTCTCACAGTATGCTCTCGACACCGAACACACTACGACGCACAAAAACGGTACGCCAGAATGTGTAACCTCAAGAGAAGTCAAGCACCTTGGTCGTAATTTCGCCATGGCATACCTTGGTGATGATCCTGATGGCCAACCACTTGTCACTGGTGCTTTGTCTGAAGAGTTCTTGAAACTTCTTCCTCCTCATATCAACCTTGAAGTAGGAGCTTTCACCGCAGAACCCACGCTCATTGTTCCCGTTCAGGTAGATTACGCAGCAGAAGCAGTACTAGCTATTTCACAAACCGCAAGTTTGACGGCAGCGAAGAGTTACGGATCATATCCTCTCGCGTACTCTACAGCCTACGCGGCCACTTCGTATCAAATCGTCCCGACCCTCTCTCAACCGCCCGCCTTTGGTCCCATCGGCAGTAGTAAAGCACCACCACGCCCACCAGTCATCTTCCTGAAACCAACCGGTACCTCGACCATCGCAGTCACAAACACACAACTTGCGACGAACTTCTACATCGTTTCTCCTACGGACAGTAGCGTAAACGTACTAAAAACCCAGACAGCGCTCGATTTAGGACCAAATCCTGGACCCACAAAAGTTCCGATAGGTGGACAGACTGGAGCCAAGGGAGATTCAGGCTCGAACTCGGGGGCAGTGACTCAAATGGGCAAGGGAACAATGGTGGTACCGGAAGTGGTTCCAGTGGAGGATCGAACAGCGGTTCGACTGAAAACTCGCCAAATAGCAATTCGGGAAGCGGCTCAAACAGCAATGCCGGCTCAGGGAATGGTGGCAGTGGCTCACAAAATGGTGGCACATCTGGAGGCTCGAATACAGGAAATGGTGGTTCTAGTTCTGGTGGATCTGGAAATTCTGGAAATTCTGGAAGCTCAAATTCAGGTGGTAACTCAGGAAGTTCAAGCTCAGGTAATGACTCTGCCTCAAACTCTGGCAACTCTGGTGGTTCTTCCGGCGGATCGAACTCAGGAGGCTCAAATAGTGGTGGTTCTGGAGGATCATCATCGAACGGCAATTCTGACACTAGCGAACATGCAGCAGGCAGTAGTTCTTCTGGTTCAAACGGTGGATCGCAGTCTGGCGCCGGCTCTGGTTCGGGTGGAAACATCATCGTACCTGTGCCAATCGTCATCACTATCGGCTCTACAAAAGCAACCGTAAATCCTGGATCTTCAGTCATTATCGGCGGACAGACACTAGTGCCACAAAAAGCAGCCATTACAATCGATAACACTCCAGTGTCCATTGGACCTACAGCTGTCGTTGTGGGAGCCGAGACACATACCTTCCAGGGCTCTACGCTCCAAGCAGCAGGCCCGATCGCTCCTACCGCTATCACCTACGGTGGCGCAGTCATTACGCAAGCCCCTGTAATCGTGTACAACATCGGAGGACAAGATGTTCATGCAGGTGAAGTCGTGACCATCTCAGGTACCATTGTATCCGCTGCTTCCAGTGGTGGAGTCCTGGCCATTGGCTCAAACACAGTCTCCGTCGGCACACCAAATTCTCCAATTACGCTCAGTACTGCTGGTAGACAAGTCGTTGTCAATTCAACGCCTGCGTTCGTCATTGGTGGTCAAACTTTGGCTGCTGGAGGACCGGCAGTAAATGTTGACGGTACTCAATTGTCTCTGGCTCCTTCTGCAACAGCTTTCGTCATCGGATCCGAGACATCACAACTCGCAGCACCAGTCAATCCGACGCGAGGCGCTATTTTGACGATCGGGTCCAAAACTTTCACCGCTGATGCTTCGACACGCTTCTCGATCGCGCCCGATATTACTTTGGCGCCGGGAGGATCTGTAACTGTAGATGGAAAGACTGTCCATCTAGGTCCCTCTGGCTTTTTGGCGTCACTTGCCGTAGTCGACGGGGAGACCCAAACATTGTCACCTCCTCTTATCACTCCCGCACCTGCTTTCTACCTGGGCGGTAACGCCTATGGAACAAACGGCGGGTCAGCATTTGTGATCGACGGCCAGGTTCTTACCCCTGGCGGTGCAATAACGGTTTCGGGCACGCCTGTGTCCTTTGTCAAGGAAGGTACCGCTGTTGTTGTCGGCGGGTTCACTCAAAGGCTGTCACAGACCCATGCCATCGCAGCTCCTGTACTGAATTTTGGTGGTCAAGCCTATACTGCGCAAGGTGGTTCAGCTTTCGTAGTAAGCGGACAGACACTCACTCCAGGCGGCCTTATCACAATATCAGGGACTAAAGTCTCGTATGCCAGCGAAGGCACTGCTGTCATCATCAATGGCGTGACCCAAGTTCTCACACGAGCAAGCCAGACCTCTGCGCCAATATTGACTGTTGGCGGTCAGGCATACACGGCTCGCACCGGACCGAATTTTGTGATTGATGGTGCTACGTTGATTCCTGGTGGTCAGATTACTGTTGACGAGACGACCATCTCTCTAGTGGATGAAGGAACTGCTGCAGTCGTGAATGGAGTCACCAAGACTCTGTCGCAAGGACCAGCAGCATCAGGAGCTGTACTGAGCATCGGTGGTCGTACGTACACTGCTGGAGATGGGCCTAACTTCGTGATTGGAGGTCAGACTCTGATTCCTGGCAAGGTCATCACTTTCGATGGGACATCTGTATCTCTCGCAAGCGGTGGAAATGCTGTGGTCGTGAACGGCGTCACCCAAACACTGTCGCCAGGAACCTCAACACAAGCGGCAGCCATCTTGACTATCGGCGGTCAAACATACACCGCCCAGTCTGGAGCCTCATATGTGATCGGAGGCCAGACGCTACTTGCTGGCAATGCAGTGACTGTTGATGGCACGACTATATCACTCCAGAGCGGAGGCACTGCTGTCGTGATCAATGGTATTACTCAAAGTCTTTCGCAAGCAACTGCGGCAGCCGTACTGAACATCGGTGGGCAAGCTTACACCGCTCAATCTGGTACCTTCGTAATCCAAGGCAAGACGCTGAAGCCAGGAGCTGTGATCACGGTCGATGGCACAACAATATCGCTCGATGCCGATAAGACGGTTGCCGTCGTCAACGGGGCGACGAGCACATTGGCTCAAGTCACAGCACCCGCAGCATTGACGTTCGGCGGCAATACCTACGCAGTCCAGACTGGCTCGTCTTATGTGATCAATGGAAGACGTTGACGCCCGGAGGCGTCCTGACTTTGGTAGATGGGACCACGATCTCTCTTGCCTCTTCTGGTTCGTTTGTCGTGATCAACGGTGTTACTTCGAGTATCCCACGCGTGGCAAGTGCGACCCCCACATCGATCCTGACTGTTGGCGGTAAAACCTTTACAGCATCTGCTGGCTCGTATGTAATCGATGGACAAACTCTTACCTCTGGCGGAGTCATCACTCTCTCCGATGGCACGACACTGTCCCTAGGCGCTTCTGTGCTGGTCATCGACGGACAGACCTCTACCTTACCAATCGCGCAGTCCATCTCACCAGGTGTCATCATAATCGGCGACCAGATGTATAGCTCTCTGACAGGCAACACAGCTGCACCAAGCTACATTATCAATGGACAAACACTTCGGCCATCTGGTCCTGGAATCACAATCACCATGTCAGGAACGACTTACATCGTCACTCTCAGCGCTGGTGCCTCGACAGTCGAGATCGACGTCCTGGGTCCTGGAGGAAAAGTTATCTCTACAATCTACGAGACATTGAGGGGTAGCGGCATTGGAGCAAGCACGGTCACGGCAACACAGGAGATTGAAGGCGGCGCTGCAGCATCGCCGACCGCACAGCCTAGCTTGACAGCAACACCGACCAAAGGCAGCAGTGCCGGTTTACAGAATGCAGCAGCGCCTAGAAATGATGCTGTTGGCATCAGCGTTGCTCTCGCTGCCATAGTAGCTGGAGCTCTGGCTGTTTTGCTGTAGAATGAAGAAAGAGAAGATGATGTTTTATGGCTTTTACGAACATGTACGAAACTGCAGGCATCTTTTCAGGGCACAGCGGCCCCTGACTTTATCTCTTTTGCGATAGCGGGCGTTCCATGTGGGATGGATGTAATGTGGCATCAAAGAGTGTAGCAACAAAAGTGGCTGGTTTTGCTCTGTTTCTTCTCTTCTGAGGATTTGTTTTTGCCTACCTTATATAGCTTTATAATACACCGATTTGCTCTTTCTGTATGCTCATGTTCGTATCCTTGTTCTTCATATCGTGTGTTCTTCGTGTCTTTCGTTACAGCCGTGCCATTCATTTTACAGGCACCTCAACGACCTGATCAAGGCCCTCGAATGGAGGAATGTCCAGCTCATATTTCTTCGCCATGTCCTCGGTCAAGAACCTGCCACCCACGAAATGCCTACCCTCGAACCACTTGACCAACGGCTTTGGCGCCGTCAAGCTGATCAACGCATCAGGATTATATCCTTTTCCCGGACCCTCACCCGGCGGCCCTGTTTCGATATTCCAACTGCTTGGTGCATCGACAGCCAAGACCGGGATGTTGGAGTCGCGCAGAGAGGATATAACGGAAGGAAAAGGTTCGCGGACTTCGCCCGAGAAGGAGAAGCCGAAGATGGAGTCGATTATGTAGTCGGTGGACGAGAGTTGGGCGGAGAAGTCAGAGGTAAATGGGATATGGAGGTCGCGAAGTTGTTGGGTGAGACGCTGTNNGTTTTGCTCGTCAGTTCTTTTCTCCTCAAGAAGCTTTGCGAGCAAACTTACTTGGTATAGCTCATTCTTGGGCTGCTTGGGGTAGTAAACAGTGGGTTTGTATCCATAGTGCCAGAGGTGTCTCGCAGCTACCAAGCCATCACCTCCATTGTTGCCAGGACCTACAGCGATCAAGATGCGGTTTCCCTTCTGCGGTGGTTGAAGCTTGAAGAGGGCTTGAGAGACGGAGAGGCCGGCGAGTTCCATGAGTTGGTCGAGGGAGAAGGCGCCGGTGCTCATGAGTTCTTGGTCGAGCGCGGCGGCTGCTTTGGCACCGAGCGTACGGAGAGCCATGGTTGGTGATGGTATGAGTTGTGGGTGTATATGGTGAGAGTGCGATGTAGGATTGGAGTGTCAAGTTGACGAAGGTTGATCAAAGATGTACGTCACCAATCACCCGAGTGGAGCTTCCGTCAGGGTCATACCTCGTACCAACATCTGAACCTTTTTGATTCATGGACCAGGACCAAAAGGCACCGAAGGCCTCGCAGGCCGATGTATCAACATCGACGATGTATACTGAAATTGCTACGATGAATTGGTGTGAAGATTTGGTGGTCTGGAGCGAAAAGTTGGGCCGATTGGCCTCATAGCTCCAACAAAAGGCAGGGACGACTAGTGCAAACTTCCATCCTGAACAGTCTCATGGCATTCCGACAGCAGTGTTTGGGATGATCAAAAACATTTGACCCGAGTCGCGCGCTGTAAAATTTCTAAACCGCTACCTGCCTCCTTATCCATTCGAATCCTATGTACAATGCCTGCCGACCAATCTCGACAGTACGGTCAAAAAGTGCAGAATCTCTAACCAGCTCTCCAATGCGAGCATCATTCACTTCTTAGGAACATGGCGGCTCGATTCTTTCCGCTCATGAAGCCACTTCTTGACGGGGTTGGTGTCTTTCTGCACCGGAGCTGGTGGTGTGTGATTGTGTCTGACGTCGGTTGGTGCGTTCTCTTCGTACGACACTCTTTGGCAGCAGTCCATCCTGCGCACGACATCTGATGATAGCGCTTCAGCGATGCTGATACGCTTTTCCGGGTTGGGATTGAGCATTCTCAACACCAAGCGCTCCAACGAGCTGCTGTTGAGGAGGTGGAAGAGCTTGCCACAGTCTGGGTAATCATCCGTCCCAGGTTCGATGATTCCGTCGGGGCGGTCTTTCAGCCACTTGTTCCATCCGTTGACATACTTCTTGTAGTTTGTATTGTCAGGGGTGGCCTTGACCCATGGATGTACGCCAAAGACCATACTCAGGAAATTGATACCACATGACCAAACGTCAAGACCTCTTGGGTCGTAAGCATCCTTGGCATCCATGACTTCAGGAGAAATGTAAGGTTGGGATCCAAAAATGGCCGGTTGCGAGTATCTAACACGATCGACCTTGAAATTCTCGACATCCATGCCAATGCGGAAGCTAGGGTGAGGACCGCTGAAGATTTCGCTCAATCCAAAGTCGATAATCTTGACGCATCCGTCTCTTGTAAGCATGATATTCTCGGGCTTCAAATCGCGATGAGCTATCCCATGATTGTGGAGATAATCAACGCCACGTAACAGCTGCTTGAAGAAACAGTACTTGTCGTCTATGGTCAAGTACTTCTTCTCGAGAAGGCCAAAGAGTTCTCCATTGTGGCAGTATTCCATGACTTCGCTCCAGATGCCGTGTGAAAAGCAAAGACGAACGGGCTCGATGATGTTGGGGTGGTGACAAGATTTGGCGATGCAATACTCAGACTTGACTTTCTTCACGTAATCGTCCTCGGTCTCCCAAGAATCGCGGCCACGGAACTGCTTGACGGCGTAAAGATGGTCTGGGGTCTCTCCTCGCCGCCTCATAAGCTTGACACATGCGTAGCCGCCTTCACCAATCTGCTTTGGTCGCCTCAGTGGCATCCTGGAAGACGTTTTGAACTCCTTCTCCAGAGGACAGCATTCTATGGGAAATTCGTTGGGAATGTTAGTCGAAAGTCTGCGAGATCTCGTTCCCATGCCCTGGTCTGCGGTTTGCGTGAAAGAAGGGAGAAGGCCAGGGGCATCATCCTGGAAGGTTTGGGCCCTTTTGACTTGACTGCGTGGAATCTCGGTGCTGCCGGAGCGACGTGAACTGAAGGATTCATTGCGAGTGTGTCTGGGATGTGGACGTTGTTGAAACTCGAGTTTGTTGGCGTGACGTCCAGCGGATTCCAAGTCGGTAGCAGATCTATACTTAATTCGTCTGTCGCCCGGGTCCTCTTCCTCTTCGACGCCTAGATACCCTTGCTTCGAGGACGATGTAGAAATGGGATTGGGAGTGGACGCTCCGGTAGTAGGACCGCTCGCGTTGAGAATGGAGAAAACAGCATCACCACTCGACTTGGACTTTGAGCTCTCGGGGGCAGTCGCGGCCGAGTTTACTGATGAGGCTGTACTGTCATCGCTGCCGTTCCCAAGTTTGGACGCTTCGGTTGCTGATGGAAGCGGCTTAAGGTGCTGATCGTTAACTGGTTCGGAGCGGGCTGCATTAGAGACGTCCATATCGCTCTCGGAAAGACTCTTCGGGGGAGGAGGAGCTGGTCGCTCTGATTCTGGAGTTCTAGCAGCAAAGTCTGCAGTCCCCACACCCCCAGCAGCAGAAGAAGCGTCTTGCACCATCAGAACGTGTGGAGGGTCGACGAGCGTCGACCTTTCGGTTAAGTGCCGCGGGAAGACGCAGACTCGAGTTGATACGCGTTAGTTAGCGCAGTCTTCGACAGCGAAGCAGACACGCGCGAAGACGGGGAGGGACGAGCGGCCAGCAGGCGCTTATGGCGCGTATTAAGTAGACGAGCTAGAAATCATTTTCGCATGGATGCTGGCGGTATCTTTTGGGGTCGGCGAAGGAGCCAGCCTGAGTTTGTCAGTGGCTTGCTTGGCACCGTCGGCGCCCATCGACATCGCGGGGGTTGAGAATCGCATCATTGGTGGGCACATTTTATACCCGGCTCTCGGCCAACATAAGCATCGAACTTGGACACATTGACGAGTAGAAACACGGTCGATACCTTCATTAAGTATAGAAAACCGACTACAATGGAACCCAAACTCCACGCTGCACAATCAACGCTGTCAAAACCAACCCTATCGTCGTCACTGCTTTCTCCTCGACCGTGTGGCCTTTGCTTTGCGCTTTGTCGTTTTTGTCGTTGGCCCGCTTTCCCTGCCTTGAACATCTTCCTTGTCCAGCCACCCTTCATCAAGAGCAAGCACAACCAGATCGCTGGCACATCTGAGCCCAGTCTGTGGCATCTCCTCGGGATCCAGCAGCTGATTCACCTTGAGCAGGGCTGCCTCAAGCTCTTCTGCTCGTTGTGCTGCTCCGCTGTCTTGTATGCGATTACCCGAGCTGGGCCATTCGATCTGCTCGGCGAGCTTGTGCAGGACAAAATGTAACCACACAAGATTCGTCTGTGGGTGATATCCTTTCCACGTTCTTCCAGACTCTTCAGCTTCGTCCCACCTCTCCCAAAGATCACCGAGAGGCTCGCCCAAGTACATGGCAGAGCGCATGTATCGGTAGATCTCGTACTGGTATTCCTCCTCAGCATCACCCTCAAATAGCGCCAGGTCCCTCTCGAGATCGAGGTATGCAACATCCTCCTCGTCCTCTAGGATGCCCATCTCTGCTCGCGAAATGGTGTAGTCGATGAGAGTTGTTTCAATGCCTGTAAAGTCGAGCTTCTTGGTTGAGCTTGCTGGAACGTAGTCTGCTTCGCGACAGTGTGCAGTGTTGTTGAGACCAGATACACAAATGTTACCCATGTGCAAATCTCTGTGCTCAAACCTGGCTGCTTCTTCGCCTTTGCCTAGTGCTAGCACGACTCCCCAGAAAATGTCCCAAGCAAGCCATACATTAGCGACCTTGGTGTTCTCAAGATCTGTGCCGGCGTCTTGCATCTCAATGACAGCCCACAGCTGATCTTCCGAGTAACTCGCTTTCTTGCTAGGGTCGGGAAACACGCTAACGTCCTTGCCCTTAGCCTCCTGAGAGTCGTTCCATGACGACCAAGCTGCCGCAAAAGCATCTCCAGGACGACCCTGTAACACGCAAATCTCGCGGAAGTTTGTGAAACCAGGTGTGCATGTCATGCGCTGCATCAGCCGTACTTCGGCGGCGACATCTTCAGGATCGCTCATCATCTCAGTTCGCTTCTTGGCGGCTTTGGTCATCTTTCTCTTCGTCGATGTCGGAGGCTTGAGAGCGATGATCTTGAGTACTGACTCGTCCGTCTTGCTCAAGGCTGAATGCGCCTTGAGAAGTGAGAGGCGGTAAACTTCACCAAATGATGCTTCGGCGATTTTGGTGACCGCAAAGTGCGAGGAAAGTTGGTCGGACCACGTAGAGAAGGAAGTCAGATCCTGGGAAGAAAGCGATAACAAGGATGCGGCATGTTTGGTGAAAAGATTGGAGATGCGTGGTTTTGTTATCTCCAGAGCGGCCAAGTCAGCTTCGATTGATTCCACTGGTATTTGTTCTGTGACCTCTGCCGGCAAGACGATTTCGGCTACTTGGGGCTCCTCTGCAACAACTTGGGTCGACATGTCCAAGGGCGTAGGCTGCGGNCTCTTCGTGGACAGAAGTTGTTGGTCGTTGGTCTGACTTGGTCTTCTTGGGCTTTCCATTTTTTGTTTTTCGGTCNNCCTAGGAGAAACGGATCCAGTGCTTCTCACAGATTCGCTGCTCGTCGTTCTTTGCCGAGACAATTTGACAGGTCTTTCGGTGTTGACGATTCTCTCACAGAGCGCCTCTCGCGCAGGAGAGACTTCCTCATCATCATTGGTCGAGAACTTTGTTTGGACAGTCAGCCGCGAAAGCTCTTCGGCAACCTCGAGAACCTCGAACGAAGTCGGTTCTTGTTTTCGTTGTTTGACAGGACTTTGAAAGCTACTGAAGCTGGAATACAGATGCGACGGCTTGCCGTAGACTGCTCTGCGAGGCATTTTGACAGATTATGATTTTGCTGGAGAACGAATGTTGGTACAAGAATGACAATGGCTGGTGGCAGACTTGTTGTGCTTTGCAAACAAACGACGTTGTCAGGGCAAACTCAAAATTCGGCCGTGCATACCCTCCATCAAGACCATGACTCGAGCTTCATCTATTCCACACGCATAACGACTTTTGAGACAAGTCAGGATAGTACAGAAATTCTACTGGAGCTGGCCTTCATCGTTGCTTGACTTTTGTTCGTCTGTACATGTTTGCTGGAATCATGGCGCCTAAGAAATCTGCCTCGCCAGCACCAACGGCCACAGGCTCCGAATCGGATCCTCTCACCTACGTATTACGGGCCATGTGCATGCTGGAACTGGCCGCCCTCTATTCACCTTTGTCGCAGCTCACATTGGCCCCTGTGTATGGATCTATACCCTCATCTGTTTTCCACCATGAGATTACTTCGGTCATTGTCCTCTTGACTCTCACTCGAACCAGCTTGCTTTCACGCTTCATGCCTGCCAACATTGAATACTATATCCCCGTCTTGGCCTCCAGCATCCCTCTTATTCAATCATACCTGTTCAAATACAGTACTGAGCTTGGTGTGGAGTCCGGTCCTCTCATCACCGAAGGTCTTACTTACTATCCTCTACTGCTGATGAGTTGTTATTCTGCGTCCCGCCTACTCCTGGACGCCAAGATTGACCAATACCTGCATTCTGCCATGGGTTCTACCATACTCGGTCTCTCCACCTACGGCTTCTTCGTCCTTGTTCGATCTAAGTCTAGCTTCTTGGTCTCTCAATTTNTTGCACTCTCTGCGACCTTCACTAGAGTGACCCTACAATGCGTTGTCGGTGCTTTGTTCACAATCTTGTCACCGTCCAAGTTGAGCCTTCTTGCTATACCTGCCATGATCCACACCACATGGTTCAATCCGCACTTTGTATCATCTCACACGGATGCCCTGGCCAACTCGACCCTGCAAGCAAATCAGTGGAATCTGTTGGAACGTGCTGAGTCTAACACTGGTTACATCTCAGTCTTGGAAAACCTGGATGCTGGATATAGAGTTCTCAGATGTGATCATTCCCTCTTGGGTGGCGAGTGGTTGGTCACTGATGAGAGAAGAAGTCAAGGCATCACCACCTCTGAGCCCATCTATTCAGTCTTTGAGATCCTTGAAGCTGTTCGTCTAGTCGAGACTGCTCACAACAGCGTTTCAGACAGTGAAAAGAGCGCTCTTGTCGTGTGAGTTGATCTTTGATGTGTTGTAGCTCCGCGACTGACGTGACATCTTCTGTTTTTAGAGNGTCTAGGCATTGGAACTGCACCTAAGGCTCTTATTGCGCACGGCATTGACACTACAGTCGTGGAACTTGACCCCAAGGTCCACGAATATGCGACAAAGTATTTCGACTTGCCCACCAACCATATCGCTGTCTTGGAAGATGCTGTAGCTTGGGTCCAGAACGCATCGACAAGCGCTATCAAGCAATACGACTACATCATTCACGATGTCTTTACTGGCGGTGCAGAGCCTCTTCCCTTGTTCACAGACCACTTCCTCGGCAACTTGCGCTCTCTTCTAACACCAGATGGTGTCGTCGCTGTCAACTATGCTGGAGACCTTGCCGACTCCTCTACAAAGCAGATCATCGACACCATCAATCTGGCATTCGATCGCCAATGTCGCATGTTCCGTGACTCGGAACAGTCTTCCGAGGCAGGAGCGACCGACTTTCTTAACATGGTCATTTTCTGCACAAATTTTGCTGGCGACGGCGGCAAGCTGGAGTTCCGTGCACCCGTCGAGGCAGATTACCTGGGTACTGTGTCGCGCAAGCACTATCTTGTGCCTCAGGAAAAGCTCGAGTTCAAGTTCCCCACCAAGGAAGAGATGCAAGAGGAGGCAATCCAGACACTGACGGTTGACAACCTCAAAGAATTTGAGAAGAAGCAGGTCGAGTCTGCCAAGAGACACTGGAAGATAATGAGACTGGTTGTACCGGACTTTGTATGGGAGCTTTGGTGATGTGTCTTTCTGTATGACTGCTTACTATATCCAAGCCCCTTTTCTAGCGATCTTCCAGAACGAAGTCGCGTGGCCAAAACGTGTATATATCGTAGCCACCTCTTTCAACCTCAGCTTCTCCACAGCGACGTGTATCCAAGTAGAAAATTCGCTGCCATCAACTAACAAACATAAGAATGATCTGTGACAGCCTACAAATCGATCACCCACAATTTCCGTCATGCCTGAACCTCTGTCTTCACAACTTTCGACCATGGACGACTTCTTGCGCCACATGCAGCAAAACCTTCGCACGAAGACACCCCCTCAGAGCGAAATGTCTAGCATCTACAAGTTCACCAAAGGCGAATGTCATACAGTTGACCCTCATACACTGCTCTGTCGCATGCTTTCGCTAGAAGCAGTGCTGCCCATATCCGAAGACACTCGATCCCAAGTTGCAAGCAACACCCAAATCGGCAAAGGGCAATGTGGTACCATCTATACACTCCACAACCCAAACCAAGTCACCAAGACACCAAACTCGACGAAAAAGATACCCGAGCTACAGAGCGACCACATTTCTCACGAGGCTGTCTGTGGAGCCTTTGAGAACGCGCCAGAGGCCTTGTCGAGCAAGGCCAACGTTCCCAAAGTGCATAGCTTCATGTCTCCGCCTTCTGACGATGATGGATTGAGTTACTGGATCCGTGGATCTGACGAACAGATTGATCTTGCATCAAACTACAACTATGGATTACTCTCCGAACGCATCTTCCCTTTGCGAGATCCTATACCAGCAGCGTTGGTGCGAGTAATGTGTCCTTCCTCCCCAGCAGCAAGCATAGAAATCTGCTTAACCAAACCCACAAACAACAACTGTCTCGTTCGCCTCTATCTCGGTCGTCGAGGCATAGACAGAACCAAAACCAACCCCGAAGACACGAGCCTCCGCAACTTCCCTCTCCACATCGACGAAATGGAAAACCTCTGCCTACCCATCCCAACCTACATCTCCACAATAGCAGAGTCTCTAGCCCTCATGCACTGGAAAGCCCACCTCGATGCCAACGACATCGAATTCGTACTCGGTGCCTCGCGAACCCACAACCAAGGCCATGGTGTCTCAATCTGGGTATTGGATTTTAACCAGTGTCGTGTGTTTAGCCACAATCAAGCTGGGTTAAAGCAACTAGTCGATGGCTTTTGGTGGAATGATCCTTATTGCCCTCGTCCCGGGACGGAGCACCCGCAGGATAGGGTGTGGTGGACAATGTTTTTGAGCAAGTATTCGGATGCGAGTGCGTTGTTGACGGATAGCAAGATGCCGAGACATTTTATACAGGCGGTGGAAGAGGAAGGGTTTCGGAGGCGAGTGAGGCCTTCGCTCTTTGGGTAGATCGGGAGTGTATTCATCAGATCTGTTGTTTCTCAATGCGAGATGGCCACAACATATCCAGACAATTATATGCATTAGCTTCCCAACCCCCTACACTGCTCAAACAGATCCATTAGTGCTTTATTCTCTTCTCATCTCTGCACTGGGCATCGAACAGGTACAATTCAGACTAGACATTGAGAGGCAGGAAGGTGCAATGGTTGGTTGCTCTGGTTAGAGCCAAGTGATTGTTGACGTATCGATGGGTTGAGGTACAAGATCAAGTCTCCACATCACACACATGATCATCAATAGAGGAAAGGTCATCACAAATGCAGGACAAGGGAAGGAGACATTGATGGATTCAGAAGATTGGGATTGTTGTATTTGAAAAAGGGTTGTGAAACGCCCATGCGATGCCAGAAGGACAATTCTGTATCAACCCAAGGTCTCATCAACTCCTTCTCCTGCCCAGTACCTCCTCAAGGGACATTAAATCTAAGAAAACAATTTTGAAGTACGAAAAAGAGAAGACGTGACGACATTAAATAATGCTACTGACTGTGGTCAAAGCATCTAGTCAACCTCCTCCATGGCGGACTCGCCAGCGGCCTCGGCGGCAGGGNNGGCCTCAGTGGCGGCAGCCTCTTCGCTGGTCTCGGCCTCCTCGTCGACGTTAAGGCCGAGGGAGACGAGCTTGTGGATGCGCTCAGCGTANGCGGCGGGCTCGTCGATGGTGAAGCCAGAGACGAGGAGGGAGGTCTCGTAGAGAAGCTGGGTGATGGACTTGACGGTGCGGTCGTTCTCGCCGTCGGTCTCGACCTTCTTCTTGAGCTCCTTGATGATAGGAGAAGCGGGCGAGATCTCGAAGGTCTTCTTGGAAGACATGTACGAGGACATGGAGGTGTCACGAAGAGCCTGGGCCTTCATGATGCGCTCCATGTTGGCAGACCAACCGAACTGGCCAGTACGGATGGCGCAAGGAGAGCCGACGAGCTTGTGGGAGACAACGACCTTCTCGACCTTGTCGCCGAGGACGTTCTTCAAGCTCTTGGCGAGAGACTCGTACTCCTTCTCCTCCTCCTCGCGCTTCTTCTTCTCATCCTCGGTCTCCTCGAGCTCGAAGTCCTTGGTAATGTCAACGAGCTTCTTGCCCTCGAACTCCTTGAGCTGGGTGAAGGCGTACTCGTCGATGGGGTCGACAAGGAAGAGAACCTCGAAGTTCTTCTCCTTGAGGGCGTCAAGGAAGGGAGACTTCTGGACGGCCTTGAGGGACTCTCCAGTAATGTAGTACATCTGCTTCTGGTGCTCGGGCATGCGGGTGATGTAGTCCTGGAGGGAGGTGATCTCGTCGAGGGACTTGGTGGAGTTGAAGCGGAGGAGCTTGGCGAGCTGGGGACGGTTCTGGGCGTCCTCGTGGATACCAAGCTTGAGGTTCTTGCTGAAGGCAGTGTAGAACTTGTCGAACTGCTCACGGTCCTCGGCGATCTCGTTGAAGAGCTCAAGAGTCTTCTTGACAATGTTCTTCTTGATGACCTTCATGATCTTGTTCTGCTGGAGGGTCTCACGGGACAGGTTGAGGGGGAGGTCCTCAGAGTCGACGACACCCTTGACGAACGACAGCCACTCGGGAATGAGGTCGGTGGCATCGTCGGTGATGAAGACGCGGCGGACGTAGAGCTTGATGTTGTTCTTGGTCTTCTTGGTCTCGAAGAGGTCGAAGGGAGCGCGCTTGGGGACGAAGAGGATGGCGCGGAACTCGAGCTGACCCTCGACGGAGAAGTGCTTGACGCCGAGGTGGTCCTCCCAGTCGTTGCTGAGCGACTTGTAGAATGAACCGTACTCCTCCTGGCTGATGTCGGCGGGGTTGCGGGTCCAGATGGGCTTGGTCTTGTTGAGCTCCTCCTCCTCGATCTTGCTCTCCTTGACCTTCTTGGTCTTCTTCTCCTTCTTCTCGTCCTCGTCGTCGACCTCCTCGACCTTGGGCTTCTTCTCGTCACCCTCCTCGGTCTTCTCCTCAGCCTCCTCATCGGGAACCTCCTTCTCGGTCTCCTTGAGGACGTGGAGGTAGATGGGGTATGAGATGAACTCGGAGTGCTTCTTGACGACCTCCTTGATCTTGGCCTCGTTCAGGTAGTCGAGCTGCTCGTCCTTGAGGTGCAAGACCATCTTGGTACCGCGGCCGAGCTGCTCACCCTCAGTGTCCTGGGTGAGGGTGAAGGTGCCACCGGCGGATGACTCCCAGAGGTACTGCTCGTCATCGTTGTTCTTGGAGGTGACGGTGACCTTGTCGGCGACAAGGTAGGCGGAGTAGAAACCAACACCGAACTGACCAATCATGGAGATGTCGGCACCAGCGGTGAGGGCCTCCATGAACTGCTTGGTACCGGAACGGGCGATCGTACCGAGGTTGTTGACGAGGTCCNNTGGAGAACAGTCAGTCACAATTCAGGCGACAGAGTGGGACAGGAATTGATCACTTACAGCCTTGGTCATACCGATACCAGTATCGCGAATGGTAAGAGTCTTGGCCTCCTTGTCGGGGATAATGTCGATGCGCAGGTCCTTGCCAGAGTCAAGCTTGCTGGGGTCGGAAAGAGCCTCATAGCGGATCTTGTCAAGGGCATCAGACGAGTTGGAAATGAGTTCTCTGAGGAAAATCTCCTTGTTGGAGTAGACGGTGTTGATGATCAGCGAGAGCAGCTGAGAGATCTCAGCCTGGAACTCGAACGTCTCGGCGGCCATGTTGATGGTGGTGATGAAAGACGGATAAACACAGAGATGCAAAGCAAAAGGTGACTGCTGGGATATAGACAGCCGGGTATCTGAAGGAGAAAAGAAGAGGTGGATGTGAAGGGGGAGGAAGTTTAGTCAGAGGAAGGAGTGTGTTAAAGAAAACCTCCAGAGCTCCTTCCATACGATTCCATATTTCGATGGAAACGCCGGCCTTGGCGCTTCGTTGCACGAACAACCACTGTTTTCCCTTCACATCTTTGACACACGAAGAACTTTGCAGATGGTACTAGAAGTCTCTTTGACACACGCGAATCTTCACTATCTAATCAATTGACTCTGACATGCGACAATGTGTGCATATCAAAGTGCTCGATTCTATCGCTGACCTGGCAAGAGCGCTTGGGTGAAGTCTCGCGTCTCCGTGGATCCAGACTCTGCGGGGATCCTTGTGGGCAGCGGCCTTCTGGTTGCCACCCGAACCTTCTACGAGTAGTTGCCAACAGCTTCGTCAACCATCACTCACAACTCCAATCGCTTGTGTCAGTCGAAGACGACTTCTTGATGTATTTTCTTCCTCGTGTGCTGAAGCATAAACGCGCTCGGCTATCGAGATGCACAATGCTACGAACAAACAAAGCAGTATCTATTCAGAACTGCCATCTTGAAGAGCCCCTACACTTCGACATATGCCCATATAGGAGAAGGGTGGAGTCACAGAGTTTAAGGCTGTCATATAAATGCCGCTCTCAATCGAAACCGTTGTTTTGTTGGCTTTTACGCAACACCAAGCTCTTCAAGCACCATATCTAGTGGTGATTCGTATGACGGGGTTCTTCTGTTTGGAGTAAAGTGAGCAAACCACCCACAGTGATTCTCGAATCGTATTATGCGGTTTGATTGTAGTGATTAAAATGCAATATCAGTGCCTCTGCCAGTCAACAAACCCCTCTCAAGCATCAACTAAAGACCAGACCAGGACATGCAAAAGTTGGCCGCATCGCCTCTGTCCAATGCCCAAGAAAACTGTATCCATTTGACGCCAACCGAAAAAGAAAAAAAACTTCCGCTCATCCAGACTCAATAGCCCATGCAAATGATTGTGCCAATTGACATTATTCAACCCCATGTCGTATCCTGTCAAGAATTGCTTTCTTCATGATCTGATCTCGACGCTTCTCTTATCGGGCAGCTCGATAGGATCTTGCTGGTCCTGTGCAGGTGGTGCGGCAGACAGCGACTCCCTGCGTGTGAACTGGGCGTCCTGTCCGGTCATTCTGCGGTTGAGTGCGCGCTCGACCTTTGCGCCCAGGGCGATGGTGTGAATTTCGTCGTTCTTGGTCTCGCTAAGCTGGTAGCGCTGTTTCTCGAGGCGCTCGTCGGCCATGCGCTGGAAACCGGCCTTCCATGACTTGATGTCCTGGGTACGAGGGTCGGCGGATCCGAGTGTGCTCATAGATGCGCGAGGCTCGGTGGCGGTGATCTTGTCTGTGTCGTAGGTGGTTGTCGAGGGCGCATCTTGCTTGAAGCCAGCATCGGCCGTGTTGTTGGTGACGGTGGAAGAGGTGCTCATTGCGATTGAAGGGAGTAGAGATGGTGCGCCGGAATGTGTAGAGAATCTGAGCGATTGGTTGTGTGTTGAGGAGGACAAGTCGTTCGACTATCAAAGGGTTGCAATGTCAGACAGAGATCAGCGAAGCGTTGTATGGGCGCAGCAAGCAAACACTGAAACGGCGAGGGGCTCTCGAGACAAGAAAAATCCCAAAAAATTGGTAATAAAATGCGAGCGGGCAATGGAGAAAAAGGACAAGGCAACGTACCATGACTGGATCTATAAGCGGAGATTCAGGAGTTGTCAGTCTTGTGCTAGGCTCTTTTATCGTCAGCTGCATGGTCATTAGAACGCTCTTTCCATGTCGGCCACTGCTGATGTCTCACCCGCTGTCTACTTAGTGTACTGTTCGCTTTCGACTTGTGTTTGCTAACAAGTATCTGTCAAGGGGAGTGGAGTGCGTTTCGATTAAGAAGCTACGAGACAAAATAGGGATCCCCGAAATGCATTCATATTCCTTGTAAATCATGTCGGAAAACGGACCCCTTGGTACCGCTCGACTCGCCAGATCATGCCGCTGGCCAGGGATTCTTGCCTGACAACCCAGCGCAACCACAGAACATGGTCTTCTGCCATGCCTCTCCAGATGCTCAAAAATCTTGACTCACACGATCGCGTGGCAATTGTTCACCCGTGTCGTGTCTGCTGAGACTTGGCCGGTTTCCATGTTCTCACCACCCCAGAGCGAAGCCGCTTCGCACGTTTCAATATACAGGTAGCGGATCTGTCCAACAGGCGGTAAAACTGTCCTACCAACGTGGCCTCGATCAGCGCCACGTGCAGCAGTCCCAAGGCAAGGAAGCACGCGAACCACGCATTCCGCTCGCTCGTGGCACCCAGGAAGTCATGTTACACTGATTCGATTTGTTCTTGACTCGTTCATTCATCTTATCATATCAACTCTCCTTGCCTGGCAAGGGCTGGCTACCATTTACCTCCCGTCAAGAAAGCCTTGAAGAAATTCAAAGGAGCCCTGCTGTTGTCCCTGGCTGACACTACTGCATATCCAGGGACTTCGACACTCGGTGTGCATAAGCCCAATGCTTCTGACACTGCCACCCAATTCTTTGTTGCCCAAACCAAGACCGTGGCGATAGCACCACACCCTCCAACCACCTGCAGAAGACTCCATCTTCTGATGTTGAATCGTTGGCTCAGTGCAAGCAATCCCAGTGGGTCTTGATAATTGAGACTGTCAGCTTCCCTATATTTTGGTGATATCTCGTGGCCAGATTTGACCAAGGCCGAGCTGGCGTTGTGCTGTTCAGAAGTACCCATCGTCAGCTGCTTTCTATCTTGGTTTTCAGTGTCCAGCGCGATCTTCAGGTTGTATGCCCACTGCGGTAGTTGCATGCTTTCTCTGTCGAATTTGTGAATATCGCTACGGCGGCCGAAGTAGTACTGCGAATTCGTGTCCAAAGCCGGTACAAGCTTGAATGGAGTGGGCGATGACCCTCGCTGGCTCGCAGTGGATACTTGGGGTGCTAGGAACCCTGAAGGAGAAGACAACACGGAAGAGATGGAAGATGGTGCAGCATCTTGCAAACAGCCAAGTCGCTCGAGTGCAAGCTCGCGAAGCTCGCGTTTGTGTGAGTCGAAAGATGTCTTCAGGTAATCCCTTCGCCATTGAATGAATTTCTTGACGGCACAGTGCCGTAACCACTGAGCGTTATCAGGATCGAATAGCCGGTCTACCAATTGGGCAATGTCGCTAGAGACCAAAGGCTGCACATAGTCAGAAGACATCAGCACGCTTGCATCCATAGTCTCTGTATCCTCACTCAAGGAGGACGACACTGCAAAAGGCAACGATGTCAAGGAATCTTGAGCGTCCGCGGCCTGGAATGTAAACGTTCTGACACCAGCAGCTTCAAGACTAGCCCTTATAGCTGTCTTTATGTCCTTGAGGTTGTCACTCGTGCATGTATCGGCTCTACCGATGATAGGAACTATGTTGGTGAGTGCAGAGATGCGTCGGAGAATTTCAATCTCTGCAGGGCTTATCTGGTGAGATNNTCTGGATGGTATTAATACTCTTTCAATGATGTACAGGAACATCAACTTACTGGGATGGAACATATAAAGTACAACATCAACTTGAAACCCTCCGCTGCCACTCAAAACACCGAGAAGATCTGTGTCGCTCAATTCTCCTGTCAAAGCATTTCTTCGCAAGGATGCCTCTATGTTTTCGTGAATAGTACTAATGGCATCATCCATGTTTTGATCGCTCGCACCACTCATGGCCCAACCAGGGGTGTCGATGAAGGAGATGTTGCGTTCAAGAATGGAGTCTCCCATGCTTTTTCGACGTCTCAAGCCACGCCCTTGTTCGATTTCTGACCACCAAGATGGGTATGATTTAGTCGAAGCGTGAGTCTCGAAGACCTGGTCCGTATGCGCAGTCGAGGTTGAGGTCGAGGCAACAGCCACGATAGGGTCGACATGAACAATGTCGTCACACACTTGAACGATACTTTTTATCAAACTCGTCTTGCCAATACCAGAAGGACCAACGACCATGAGTCTTAGTCGAGGAATGCGCTTGCCTCTCTCTGTAAAGGGTCGGCGTGCAGGCATGGATATGCTAGGCATGACCAACTGTGGTATACTTGTTTGAGGAACAGTTGACGAGGCGGACTCGACCAGAGTGTCGTCAGCGAAGACATCATCATCCTCGCTCGAAGAGTGGAGGGCCTGGCTAGCAGTGTCGTCGATGATACTTCCTTCCTCGTCTGAGAGGCGTACACTTTTNACACTAGGTGACTGCGGGGTGCTGGTATCGCTGGCGCGTAGAGGAGTAAACGAACGACCCAAGGATGTAAGGGATTCGCTTCGAATATGGCGACGGGTTGGTGATGGAGTCAAGGGTCTAGGGGCTGAGGAGGAGATGGAAGATTTTCGCGACGAAGGACGCTCTTCTGAGGATATGATGCGCTGAGCAGCTGCAGCAATCTTCGGGTGGACGGGATTTCCAATCTTCCGTTTCTTGCCAGAGACAGAGTCGGACGGGGGTGAAGAAGGCTCTGGCGATTTGGAGGCGAAAGCAGCTTCGAGGGTTTCGTCCAGGCTCTCGACGCCATAGTCGTGATGCTTGTCCTGGCCGTGTTGCTGGCTAGTCTGTTCTGCCTGGGCTTTTCTCATGTCTCTTTCTCTTCGCAGGAAGAAGGTGGTCGGCGGCTGTGTATATCCCGGGATTGGTGCGGTACCTGCATCAGTACAAGGTTGCTTCTTCGTCCGTGGCCACGCTCGTTCGGAGGTGCTCATGCTGGACTGGTAGTGGGTGTGATGTTGGGTTTGGGATCTATGTGTCGTGACAATAAAGTGCTAGAAGAACCAAACACAGGACTTCTCAGGACATGATCATACGACTATTTTGCTCAATGTTCCGCCTTCTGACGAGTCCAAGTGCAGATGGATCATGACCTCGTTGACGATAAGCCTCCTTCCCCACGATCGCTCGGATTGCGGGGTGATAGGCGGTTGCCCAAGGTGGCACGTGCGCATCCATTGACAACTACCTTTGAGCTTCAAACACTGCTCTACATCGCTGCATGAGAGCAAAAGCATCTGCGTGGTGGAATAGCACTTGAGAAACCTCAACAGTCAATGATCTGGTGTGTACTTATCATGGGAAACATCATCGTTCATTCTGCATATCTACCGTCGTCCATGAATAGCTACAGCCCAACCTGGCCTGCTTCTTCTTTCGTCTTCAACCCAAACTACGCCAGATGACCCGCGTGCTCCGAAGAAAAGTCACCGTTTTCAATATCCCATCCACGCCCTCCTGAGCCCATCCGCAACCGTGTTGATACAGACTGCAAAGCCAATAAAACTCCGCAACAAACAACAGAAACACAGTCGGTAGGATGGAAAGAGAAATCAATGAGAAACACGCGCCGCTATGCATTAGTGACAAATGTGTGAAGTTTTGAGCAGCGCCTCAAGACTCTGGAGCCCATCTCCAAATCGCTTCAACGCTGAGAAAGAACTTTTTCGAAAGGGGGCATATCGCGTCATATTTTACAGATGAGGGCTGCACTGCGTCTGTTGTTCCAGTTCCAGCCCATGTTGTAGAAGATGTTTAGGCAGCCTGGGCACCGCCGCGACCGCGAGAGGCAGCGCCACCACGGCCTCTCTGGGAACCGCCGCCGCGACCACCCTGGAAAGAACCGCGAGGGGCCTGGTTGGCACCGCCACGGCCGCCTCTGGCGCCACCACGGTTGCCCTGGAAGAAGGGTCCTCTGTTGTCCTTGGGACGGCGCTCCTCAATGGTGATGGCATGCTCACCAATCGAGATGGGGCTGGCCTTGAGGGCAGCCTTGTAGCCATCAAGAGTCTTGAAGTCGACAAAGGCGCAATTCNNTGCTCGATATATCAGTCAATGCAATACTGGATTTTGGACTGAAGGGCTTACCTTGGGTCTGTTGGCGTCGAAGTATACGAGCTCGCCGTACTTCTCAATGACCTCTCTCAGGGTGGGGAGAGTAATACTGTCGTGAACGTTCTTGACGTATGCGCGATGTTGGGGTGTGTCCTGAGCACCTGCAGCGGCCTGGCCCTTGTTCTGCTTCTTGTCACCAACGCTGGTCCACTCTTCCTGTTGATCAGCACTAGGAGCAGCAGGAGAAGACTCGCGTGCGGGAGCAGCGGCAGCAGCCTCCTGGGCAGGTGCAGCGGGTGCAGACTTGGCGGCAGGCTCAGGTTGGGGAGCAGTCCTGGACTGGACAGGGGCGGCAGAAGCAGAGGGTTGAGGAGCAAAGACGGGAGTGGCGACACGGTGAGCGGCAGCGGCGAGGTTGGCCCAGGTCTTGGGGGCGGCGGGAGCAGCGGGAGCAACAGGCTTAGCAGGGGCAGCGGCCTTTGCAGGCTTGGCGGCTTGCTGAACAGGAGAGCGAACAGCGGGAGTGGGTTCGGGGTCCTTGGGCTTCTCAGTCTCCAGAGCTTCCTGGGCGGCAGGAACCTCGGGGGCAGCCTCAGTGGCGGTCTCAGGTGCGGGCTCAGAGGTCTCGGTGGGCTCGGACACGACGGCGGCAGGAGCCTCCTCGGCCTGGACAGCCTCAGCGGTTTCGGCCTTGGGCGATTCGTCGACTGCGGCAGCAGGAGCGGCGGTCTCCTCAGGCTTCTCGGCAATAATCTTCTCCTCGATCTCCTTGTCAACCTTGGCGGCGTCCTTCTCAATGGCGACGGGGTCCTCAGAGCTGGTCAAAGTCTCGTGCTCAGGCTCCTGAGTGGCAGTAGGAGCAGGCTCCTGAGTGGCAGTAGGAGCAGGCTCCTGGACAGCGGCAGGCTCCTCGGTGGTGCCAGCCTCCTCCTCCTCCNNCTCGATGATGTAACGGAAGATATCGTTCAGCACAAAGTAGCCGTTTGTCTGAGCAGCGAGGACAAAAGTCTGGGTGAACTTCTTGTGAGGGGCCGACTTGTTGGAAATCTCACCGATGACCTGGATGACGATGTGGTCATCCGAGGCTTGGGAATCGACATTGGTGACGCGGACCTTGCACTCAGAGAAGTCGAGCTCCTTGATGCGTTCGTTGATGGCCNNTGTTTGCTGGTTTAGTACCTTGGCATCTTGTGCGCTGTTATGAAAGCGAAGACGTACCCGTTGTCCCACGCAGACTTCGACCTTCTCGGTCTCGATGCCCGAGACGAATTGTGAGCGCTTGTTGTAGAAGAGNCTGTAACCAGTCAATGCATGTCCTCCTCATGTACGTTGTATTAGTCTTTGACATACGTAGACCTTTTCGGGGCTGCGGCTGAGGGTGGTGTAGTACTGCTCGACAAAGTACCAACCAACCTCGTCCTTGGGAATGCCAGCAGCGGAGTCGTTTGATTGCGAAGGCGCGGAAGGGTTGGAGGAAGGGTAGCTGGGNGCGGTGTAGCCAGACTGGTCTATCGAGCCATAGCCGTTCTGGGGGACAAAGGTGCCGTTGATAGCGGATTCGGAAGCCATTTTGAAGAAACCAAGAAGCAGACAGATACAAGTAGGCTGGCGGTGCGGAAAGTCGAAACGATTTCTGGTGGTGGGACACGATCAGCGCTGCTTATTTTGGCGAAACAACTTCAGAGTGAAGCAGTAGCAGGGTGCGCGACAGGTGTTTTAGCGCATCGGAGAGTCTCACCTCTAAAGTGACGATAAAACAGGCCGATATAAAACTATCTCGTGCAGCTCGACGGATCTACACTGTTTGCGTCAAGCTGCGGTAGAGCTTGGTGAATGATGAGGGGTGAGAGGAGAGAGTTGTAGAAGGATGGCGAGGGAGTGTGAGGGGATTGGAGCTTGAGGTGAGCGGAGCGAGCTTTGAGGCGTGTCTATGAGTGGCAGAAGTTGTTCACAGATGGAAATCCATCGTCACTTCCAACGAAGACCCGGGCCGTGCGCCGTGCACCACCTATGCCACAAACGGCCAGTCGCACGTGACATGGATCTGTATGGTCCCGTCCACTGCGACATCCAGAAATCCAAAGCCCATCCTCCCACTTCGCCAAGTTTGAAGAACTCGTGTATCTCCACTGGTGACCGTCTTCTGTATGCTATCTCGTAAAGAGAGAGTAACGTGGCTTGATTCAATGGGAGAAGATTACCATCCAATCGGGCAACCGCTGCGCTCCTTCCAACATGATGGTCCTTGTCCTTACCGTATCATCCTGCCTGATTTATCTTCTTAAGCACATTCAAATGTGTGCAGTGGCCCAGCTCAAGTACGATCTGCGGTTGCCAACGATGGAATAAAGGTCATTTATCATTCAAAGCTGACACATGCTTGATTTCGTGCCTGCCTTGTTCTGTAATGACTGCCACGTAGAGCCACGACTCTGGCATGCGATCTTTCCAGTCAACTGTCAGCAATCACGCGCCTGCTGCCTATACTTAAAACATGCTTCACTTTTCGAATTCCACAATTGACAAAAAGAAACGTCTCCGGCCTTTTCCAAGCCCCTTCCATACTCCAACCTATTGACACTCTCCCTGATTCATCAATCTGGCGAGTCTGATATCTATACACCAGAATCGAGTTCTCACATAATGTCTCCAAGAGATGTTCATGTTCGATTGCATTATCTCGACGAGACGAACACTGACACGACCTCCAAGAGAAAGCTAGCATGCAAAACACCAACATTAAGCGTACTCGAGACAATTCACGATGTCCGTGAAGTCTATGAAGACTTCACTCTTGACCTTCACGGATTCCGTTATGTCAAAGCATCAACCAAGCTCGAAGATTGGGCATCGGAGCAGGACATAAAACGTGATCTCATCCCAGAGATCGAGGACTTGTTGCGCCATGAATTGGAGGGCTGCGATGAGATAAACGTTATCAGCATAAAGGTGAGTGCTCCAGCCTCGTTGGTGATTTGTCCTAACCAGTACAATCAACAACAGCAGCATCACGAGAATGGTTGCAATGAACTGATCCATGTCGATTACACCGCATCAAGTGTAGAGTCACTGGTGCGCCAAATGTACGAGATAAAGGCCGACTATCTACTCGCAGGAAGAGTCCGCCTGATTAAGTGAGTTTGTTTTTGTACAGCGTAGAGTCGACTATCTTTCTAACCGATAATGCCANGCATATTGAGGCCATTTCAGTGTACCATATCCAGGTCCCCCATTGCGATCGCGGATGACCGAGGAATTGTCACATAGAGGGATATCTCGACGATCGATACAGGCACAGCCATGCGTCACGGTGTTTATCGCGATGAATACCGCTGGTACTATATGAGCGAGCAAGCCGAGGAGGATGTCCTGTTGTTCAAGACCTACGACAGCGACCAGAGCGTACCTGCTACTACATGTCTCCGCACAACATTCGACATACCCAACACTCCTACCGATACGATCTCCAACACAATTGAGATTCAAGCATTGGTCTTTACGCATCCCGCCAACAAGCAAGTCTCATATGATCGACGATCAGGCGATGAAGAGATCCAGTTGTTGAAGAGAGAAAATAGAGCCCTTTCAGACGAAGTCTCACACAATCAAGCACTGGTAAGAGCAGGCTTGGATCTTCGTCAATGGGAATCTAGCAAGACAGCGGAACGAATGCATCACCTCATCTCTGACCGCGACCACTCCCGTGCCGAAACTCTTGCACTGAGCATGCAGCTCAACTACTTGGAGGACTGGGTCGCAAACTTCTACATGTCATGGAGCTCATCATGCCATAAAGATTCCTTGGTTGGCCAGATGCAACATTTGATATGCTCGACACCAAGATTACGTCAACGGCTCGGACAGGATCAACAGGCGCACCTTAGTCTTGTGCAAAGCATGAACATGTACGGACCGCATGCCGAGATGCTGCTGCTACGCCAACAACTGCAAGCTCAGTGTGCCGAGAAGAGANGGCTCAAGGTTCAGATCAACGCTCGGGTCGAGGACAAGATGAATGAAGCCTTCGGCTCTGCGCTGCAGGTGGCTGTCGAGCATGAGCGTGGCAAAGATAACGTGGTTATCGAGGCTCTGCGCCATGAGATCCATAGGCTGCATTTGTCGCTGAAAGCAAAGACTCCTGAGAGCGAAGACTCCGCTGATTTGATAAGGTAGAGAGTGTGGGAGATGTTGTCATCGTAGTACAGTGTAGTGCAACGTAGCTAGGCGACAGCGCAGTGTAGCTCAATGTAGCTAGACGGAACAACTATTTGCAGTCTTCGCAGTCTTTTGTGCCTTCGGTTGTTGTGGTAGCAGGCTCTTTTGGTTTTGCGGATGTGTCCGAGGACTGAGTCTTGGAGGGCTTGTCAGAGTGACCAAGATCTCGATTGGGCTCAATGTGGTTCCTCAAGCGCTGCTTCAAGATCTTGGTCTCTGGGAAACCTCCCTCTGCCTTTCTATCCCATAGCAATATCTCTTGTGCTTCGGCGTTCTCGTCGGATCCAGGAGGAACATGGGTAAGATAAACTGTGAAGACGCCGCCTGTGACGGGAATGAGAGCAATCTCGCCAATAGCTGTTCCGAAGGTCGACAGTAATTCCTGGCCGAAGTAAGCTGCTCGCAACATCCATTTGCATTGAGTGCAATACGATATGGCGACACGAGGCAGTTTGTGCGGCGACGGCATGTTTGTTGCTGCTGGTGGAGTCCAAGTTCTGAAGCTCTAGATATTCGAGTGCAGGACAAGCAGACTGTTGTCCAGCAATTAGGATGTATGTGGTCGGGAATGTATCTTTGTTAACAGTGAAGGTTGTTGGACGTGGAGCCTTTGTCGCACGCGAGTCCGTCTTCGCTTCTCCAGCCTCGTCAGTGACCGACACACTTCACCTCGCAAGCATCCATGCCACTTTCGTTCACTGCGCGCATCTTCGCTGTCTCTTCACATACCCATTGTTACTCAGTTAGGACTGGAGACATGTAGACTTCTCACTTCTCGGTAGGTCCATTCCGGCGAGCAATTACGCAATAAAAAGAAGCGTTACCTCTCCCTTCTCTTCGTTGTCTAGTCCTTTCTTAGCTCTTGAAGCAATATGCCTCTCACAACAGTACCAACCCCGCCCGGCCTTTTCGAACAGCGACAATCGCCGAATGCTGGTATTGGAGTCTTCGCCATCGCCGCCATCCCTTCGGGCACTCGTATTCTCTGCGAAGCTCCGCTCTTTGCGCTTCCTGACGACGACGATGTCATAGAATGTTACCTGACAATCAAGGATCTGCCCTTGGATCAGCAATCTCTCTTCTGGTCACTCGCTGCATCCTCGAGTCCCCCTGGAGATACCGATTGGATTGGCGAATTACGAGACGCCTGTGATGGTACGCTGATTTTCTACTGGCCGATGTTCCAACAGTACTGACAGACGGCCCAGNAAGACATAGGTGATGCATTCGATCATCTTGTCAAGAAATACGAGGATGCGTATTCGAGATTCGAGACCAACCGCTTTACTTTGCGCTATGCCGATGGATCACCTAACAAACTCGGTGTTTTTCCAAACGTAAGCCAATTTCCGATCATCTCGTACAAGACGACCGTACTGACAAGCGACAGGNCGGCACGGTTCAATCATTCCTGTTCGCCCAACGTCTACCACCGCTACAACCCAAACATAGACCGTCTCACCATACACGCCCTTCGCGACATCCGCCCTGGTGAAGAGATATGCACTGCCTACATCGATATCTGCCATGACACAGCAGAGAGACGTCGCATCCTGCATCACTGGGGATTCAAATGCTGCTGCGAGGCTTGCGAGACACAAGATCCAGCGCGCGAAGCTCGAAGAAGCAAGCTAGAAGAGCTTATGACTGTCATGCAAAGGAGGGAAAACAAAAGATCTTTCGAGAACTGGGGCACCTGGGATTACGCCGAAGCTCTTGCGACCGTGGAGAAGATCATCTGTCTCATGCTGGAGGATGGCCTGGAGGAGACAGATACACTGGGCGTAGCCTACGAGAACGCAGCCGAGTACAATCTTGCCATGGGCTGCAAGGAAGATGCTGTCAAATGGGCCGAAAAGGATCTCGAGATTGAACGCAAGTGCTGCGGCGAGGATAGTGATGAATATGCCAACGCATTGAAGTTGCTGGAATCTGCACGAGCGGCTTAGCATGGTGCTTAAGAAGACAAGAGTAGCCATTGGAGAAGGCTTTGGCTACGGCCTTGAGAAGGCTTACTAGAATTCACGTACAGAAACACACATTGGGTTTCTGATAAAGGTTGAACACAAGGAGTGCCGACAAGACTACGGCCTTGATAATGTTCCATACCTCTACAAGTACCTGGCATCTCGTTATGGCAAACATGTGCTACAGTGAGCGTTCTCGCTCAATTTCTGGTTCATTGACCATCATGACGTCGAGCGACCCTGACTCCAACCTCCGAGGCATCGTGGACCGACTCCGCACCTTCGAGCATGCCCTCGGATGTCCATAGCATCTTGCAAGAATTCGACACACCAAATGCTGTAGGAAGCAGGAATACGCATTGTACACACGAGATCACTCTCAATACATATTCACAGATTGAACTACCATGCCTCTGCTCAACTTCCACCTGCTACGTCTGAAGGATGACATCCAACCCCACACCTTCCTCACTCACCTTCAAAAAGCCGACCCTTCCATCAAAGTAATAGTCGCATCGAAACCACGCCACTTCGTCGTCAAGACCACCACTCAAGATGCTGAGATCCTGAACGAACCATGGGACTTGATGCTGCTTCTCCAAGGTCCCAATACTGCACTCCCAGACTCCATTCTCCAGCACATCTCTTCCAAATACACTCTACCTGTGGGCATACCATCCAAGCTATTATCCGCATACCCCGAAAAGAATGCCAGACTCATCAAAGAGGCTTCCTCGGCTGGCCTCACAGGATCCCTGGACAACCCCAAAATGCCTGATTCGAGTCAGAAACTGGAGCTGTCGCCCGAGTTGTTGAAGTTCATGGAGCAGTTGCTCAAAGAACACGACGGTCCTGTTACCATGCTGAATCTACTCAAGTTCAAGCCCAACGGCAAGCAAAGTTACTATCAATACGGACAGCATTTCATCGAAGTGGCCAAGAAACGAGGCGGAGATGCAAAGATTGTGGGAAATGTTGTTGCTGCCGATGGCGACAAGGGTGGATGGGATGAGATTGCCATTGTGCATTATGCTAGCATCAAGCATTTCTGCGACATGTTGGCTGGTGAGGATTACCAGGCTATCAATGAGAAATTCAGACTTCCGGTGAGTGTTTGAAGCTTGAGTGATTTCTTGGAGTGTTCGCTGACTTTGTGTTTAGNNGCTTTGGAGGATACTCTGTTGGTTTGTACGACAGAGTTTGGTCAGATGGATACAAAGGCTAAGCTGTAAAAATGCGAGTGTTTTCGTTGTAAAGGCCAACCTATATACTCGGTTGCTTTTCCAGTCAAAGTTCAAACCCGTATCGTTTTACCTGCTCATTTGTGCCGAAGCCAGAACATTCCGTACATCATGGATGCTGGTCTCCCCTGTAACCAGTTGAGATTGGACAACGTCTTTATCACTGTTTCTCGCGTCTTTCGCTGCTTCGGCCCAGGCGGCAGTATGGGATGTGCCCGGTCTGACCATATGACTCTCGTCTGACAGGCGGACTAACAGCTGCTCTGTCTCGGACGAAACAGCCGTGATTTGTCGTCGTAGATAAGAAGTGTGCTGCATCAAGGCTGCCTCTTCTTGAGCAGTAGATCGGAGAATCCCAATGAAAGGCAGAACTTTCGAAGCAAGAGCAGCATTACTCGTTTCATCATTGGTCGTTGTTGATTGTTGTCTCTCGAGAAGAGGCTCGACAGGGTCCGAGTTGATTTTATGATGAGTGTTCAGAACCTGGACAAGACGTTCTCGCGAAGTGATGTATTTGCTGTACAGACTCTGAAGAGTTGTTTTGATCTCGTCTACTGACTCCGCTCCCCCGTCTCCTGGCATTTCCAGATCGTCATCAACGTGCTCGTCGTCTTCGGACAACTTTGCAAGCTCGCCTTCGATCCAAGCGATCAAGTCATCTCGAGCTCGTCGTAGAGCATATGCGCGTTTCCAATCTTCTGTGGCGGGTTGTTGAGACGGCTTGACATGCGCCTCTGACTGAATAGTGCTCTGGGCACGCAGCACAGCCTTTTGCAGCTCAAAGACGTGCGCCTGCGCATCTGCTAACGATTCGTCCTGAGACTGTTGTGCAAGAGGAGGTGGGATTTGAGATTGCATGCCATTGAGCAGCTCGCTCGGGTCCGCGTATGGTGAAGTATGCCTGACCTTTTCCAGATTGTCCAGTGCCTTTTCGATGACCAAGAGTTTGTCTCGTCGTTGTCTTTGGCGAATGAGTGCTACAGTGTCGGCGACTGGGTTTTCTTTCTTCTCGTCATCTTCCTTGTAGCCAGGGGTATGCTGTAGCAGATCTAATTCGGCTTTCAAAGCGTCGTACTGTGATTGTGCTTTTTGGCGTGCGATGAGTGCTTGCATGAACGCTCTCCGTGCGCCATTGAATGGACTGTTGAGTGCAGACTGTGCAGGTGTCTCTGCGGCAAATAATGTCACTCTCGAGAAAGGAACATTGTCATCCTGGACGTATTGGCTCAGGAGTGAGTCTATACCACGTCGGATTTCAGCAACCTCCTCGCGCGGTCTGATGTACGGTCTCAGAGCTTCCGCAAGCTCTGGTAAAGGGCATTGCTCCACCAAATCCGACATGATTTTGTGTTATCGTTGCAAATGTTCATTAGCGAGTCGGTGGAGATTGTTTGTATACAGTGCTTGGCGAAACATTTGCACGTGAAACTGGAGATCAAAAAAGATACGTCGATTTTTAATCTATATCGTGACCGACCTCAACTTCACGTTATCAATGCCCTCAACTTCTACTGCACAAATTATCACTGTCATCGGCGATTCAACGCCAAATGGTTGATGGCTGTCGACAAGACCTATACGCCTCACTGCAGGATTGAGGGCGACCCGGACTGCCCGAGCCTAGCGAAATCAGAACAGCTTTCGGCGATTTCTTGCTCGAAACAGACGAGTAAGACGATACCAATGTACATTCGCGGAGACGGCCACCATACTGGATAGGACTGCGTTGTTTATATATAGTTCGGTGCACAATGGCGTCGACCTGATGTAATGCTCAATGTGTCAGGGGACCCTGCAGCAGTCGCAGCTACCTCAATTCTTGATTATCCTGGACCACGAAACACAAAACAACTGACTCCCCAGCGCGGATCTTCTCAAAAGTTTCTCAACCAGCAATCATCATCATGGATGTACTGGACAAAATGAAAGACTTTGTAACGGCGATGCAGCAGGTCTATCAGTTTCCCATGACTGTCGATGACAAGTAAGACACCAATCCAGCTGCACTTTCTTTGGGCATGGGCACCGTAACTTAGGAGATTTTGAGGCAGCGTTCTTGTCAGCAGGAAGTCTGATATCCTTCATAGGNNCTTGACTGGAAACCCCCTCCCTTGAAGGACGGTCATCTTGGACGCTATCTCTGGACCGACGCATTTGGTGTCCTCAACTTCATTACGCTATTTAAGGAGACGGAACAAACGCATTTCCTGGTCTTGGCTGCGATACTCGTGGAAACAGTACATGATATACTCGGTCGAACGCGCGACCTATCTGCTCGGCTTCCAGGAGCCTCGGACCAATCTCCGCTGTCTGGCGGACTTCGCATAGGCAAGAATGAAGCTTCTGGAGCTGATGGGGATGGACAATATCATCACTACCTCACGATGTGGATGTTTGCACTTAATCGATTATCCATTGCGACGGGCGACATGAGCTATAACGACCAAGCTGTGTCACTGGCAAAGGCGATACATTCTGCATTCGTGTACCAACGAGACACTCCATATCCGCGCATGGTCTGGTAGGCAGACAACATAACTCTGACAATACGCTTGGTTCTGACTAGAATCGTAGGANAGATGCCGATAGACATGTCTCATCCCCGAGGCCGTGGTGAAGGTCATCTCGGTCCTGTGTTCGGCCTCGTCACGTACCGTGTCCTTCAACAAGCCTGCGGTGATCCGAGGGTATTGCAGGATGAAATTAGTGACTATCAGAAAATCATCGATCAAAAGTGGAAAGCATACACTTGCTCAGATACTCTGGATCTAGGAATGACGCTTTGGGCTTCCCACTGGTATTCGGATCAATTAAATTGGGCCAAAGGACTTGCAAACGCTGCTGTGCGTGATATGCGGATAGTTTTCCACGAAACACATTATCTAGATGTTCCGATCACACAACGTCTGGCTTTTAGAGAATTTGGAATCTGTCTGGGCATTGGCGTACATTCGAGTGCTGATCTAGAACCTGTCCGCACTCAGATCCTGGTAGCCTGGAAGGAAGCAGGCCGAGTGCCTATCCCAATCAGAAACACGGAATTGGAATGTCTCGAGCCGACCGATCTTGTCATGTATGCTGCAGCACTATGTCCTGGAGCTNTTCAAAAACATTATCTGAATTGATCTATAGTCTAATATTATGATTACGAGTGCTGTCATTCCTCAAATTCGTCCATCTCTCACAAGTCCATGCAGATGTGTTCAGTTGTGTCCTTCCTCTGCTTGTCTCTGTGTAGCTTCCTGGTCTGCATGCTTTGCTGGGTCAAATACATAGATCGGGAACTCGAGGAACAAGGTTCGCTTGAGGATTACAGGCATTTTCTTGTAGAGGGCCGGAGGGAAGGGGATGAGGATGCTGGTTTGGTGGAGGTAAGTGGCATACTCGTTCCAGCCTTCGCCCTTCTCATATCTCTTCTTGGCTCCAGGACGTTCTTGCAAGGTCAGGCCAGACACAAACATCAGCAGTGTTGTCAAGAAGATTGGTCCGACGATACTGGCGAACAGAGCCGCCTTTGCGCCGCCATGCACGTAGTTGTAAGATGCAGGGGTAACGGCGAGCATGAAGATANNGCTGGAAAGAAATATGTTAGTCTTGCTGAAACACAAGCTGCAACAGGAGACAAACTTACAGAATTGGATGAGAATCTCGGCAAAGTAATTGGGATGGCGAGACCAGGCAAAGAAACCTTTGTTGCAGACAGCGCCACGTTCTTGGTGGGCTTGCTTAAATCTGTACTTTTGAATATCGCTGACAGTCTCCATGATGATGCCGATGCCGAATCCGATGACGGCCAAAATGTCAGTGGCTTTGTTGAAGGCAGGTTGAGGATAGCGATTGACAATGGGACTATTTAACACGGTCACAGGCATACTGACAGTCCAGACCTGCGTCTATCATTAGCAAAATCCAGCAGATTTACGATGGTCGATACGCACCCAGAGTGTTTGGAAGACATAGAATCCCAACATTGGCAAGACCTTTCCACGCTTGTCGTCAAAGCGGTCGTCCTTGCCAGTTTTGATAATACGGAAAAGTAAGAATCCAGCCAGTCGTGCTCCCCAGATCATGATGAATATGCTGTCGACAATTTGGCGAGCCTCATGCTGGCCATACATAGCGACCGTGATGATGGCCAAGAGGACGAAGTTCGTTCCACCAGCAACATCGTTCAGCTGATCAGTCTTGAATCCAACAGAGATTGCAAAGAAGATAGATTGATATCCCAAACAGATAAGGAAACTGATGGCGAGATAGTAGTCATCGAGAACATGAACTGGTGCCATGTTGTGGGTCGCGTTTTGCGAAGTTGCTCTCAAGGCCGGACGTCGGAGGACAAGTAGCTTGCTGTATTGGGAAGATATAATTTATGTGATGTGGTTTCGTTCTATCTGACGCGATCTGCAGAAAAATGGTATACAAAGAATCACTCAAGGGTGCAAGGGTCCCTTTCCGTGCTTTTTGTTGCAAGCTGCGGATGTCGAGGGAACAGAAAGCCAAAAAGTCCATGCCGTCATCTAGCCAAGTCTCAATCAGGCACCCTTTCGCCAAGACTCACGATACAACGCGGAGAGCGAGATCTGTTGGCGTCTGACACTTTTCGCTGCGATCCGAAGCCACAAGATGGCAAGGGTCTGCTTCTTCAAAGTTAGGCAGGCGGCTCTGAGGTGAGCGTGTATAACTGTATTCTTTGAAGTTGATCAGTCGTATAAAGAGAAGGACCCTGGAAGAGCCATGTGAAAATCAGACAAAGGAAAACGTGAGATCAACTGCACCCATGTGCAATCCACGTGTGGATGAGCACGACTATCAACGATCGTCTCAGGACGACCTCACCTCATGCCAATATTGTGTTTCAAATCTTTAGCACTGTCGAAGTGCTGGGTGAAGGTCAAGAGGATGGCTATTTTGGATGCGACAAAGCCAGTTGCGACCGCAGGAAGATGGACCCAGAATCCAATCATGTTGGTGCCATGACTGCTGTCGGAATAAACATGAGGCTTTGCTCGACAAATTCGTGTCGAGGGCAGATTCTGAGACACCGTACTTCCAGAGAGGCATGGACCAACCTCGAAGTTGTTGTTATGTGATGTTGCTTCTGATAGATTCAGTCCTGCTGCGATCTCAGGTCAATGGTAGTACGCGTAACATTCATTGTACGAGTGCATCGCCGGTCGCGGAGGACAACAAGTCCAACGGCTGCTGCTGTCGAATCTAGTGTTTGCAAGTTCAAGATTATCTCATCCCTGCTGCATGTCGTTGGTGGAAGAAAACCTCGAGGACCTGAACCGAGCTTCATCATTTCAAGACGGACATTCAACATGCAGTCGATCATCGTTAAAGACCTCAAAGTAAAAGATGGCGATGACAATGCACCAATAGGTGGCCCCCTTTGTCCGACCCATGCAAGCCTTCCCCAAGCTCAAGACGGAGGGTCAAGGTGTGACAGCCAGCGGATTGGTCCACCTTGGAGAATCCTAGACCCCTTCCGATATATCTGATTGATATGCATTGACGAAGCCTTTACTGGCGGAGACGGGGAGAGAGCCCTAGAAGGACTGAGGCACCCAGGCACGGCTCGTGTCTGGGTCAGACACACAGGAGTCCTTGATTGATCACATCTCGATTGTCCAATCTAGCACGTTGACCATGTTCATCATCAAGATACCCCACTGCTTCGAAGAAACAAAAATTGATAAATTATCGTTACCGTAGCGGTGGGTACGCTTTCCACCTAACACAACGGGTCGGCATGATTCCTCATGGACTCGACGCAGGTCGTGGTTCTTGTCCGTTGACTATGCTTGATTTGGTGCTTGTCGTTGTTGTGTGTGGTTGAGCCTCTCACCTCTGGTACCGTATCACCGTCATCGGCATCATTATACACCCTATAAGAAAAGCCAAAGGGCAACACGAAAGAAGGAAACAAAAAACAAATCCTCAACAGAGCCATGCGATGACCAAACGCAGCTCGACCAAGGGTTGCCCTTGTCAGCAATTTACGCAGGCTGGTTTTGAGTGACCGGTCTTTGAGTCCTGGTGGGAAATCTCAGGGACGTCACACTCGGGGTCACATCATCATCATCATCATCGACCTTCTCGTTCTGTGCTTAGGTCTCCAAGTGGCCGTCGAGTGTGGAGGGTGCTTTGCGCCTTTTCGGAGTCCCAAGACTTGTGTCACTAAAGAAAAAACCACCGACGTGGCCAATCATTTCCTTGTCGGGGAGCGTCGCTTCCAGTCCGAAGCTCTCTGATTGGACATAGCTTCCCACGACCTCACCCTTGGGCCCTTGGCCTTGGCTGTTCAGATGGCCATTTTCCTCCGGCCTCGTATTACACGCGTCATTTGGGACAAGCACTTCAACCGAGCTTAACCGCACAGGACCGAGGGAACTCGAAGAGGTGCGACCCCGTTGTGCAAGCCTTAGACGTTGATGGCGTCGCGCTAGCGTACCCTCCACCTCGACCAAACACCGAGTCATGCTTTGGCAGGTCTGCAGTCAGCAGCCTCATGAGAGTCATGAAACCACGCCATGTCGTGCTTGGTGGAAAGGACGTTACAATAGGTACTTGGATTGATTACTTGTAGCAAGTTCATATTTCGTAAGAGCTTGTGGGCATATACCACACTTGATGTAGTCTCGCCCTCTTTTGTTACTATTGTACAGAACATACCACGGTCTTGGGTAGAAAACAAAAACAAATGAAGCTGCGCCATGTACTCCTGTAGTAGAATCCACAAAAGCCATCTCCAAATCCATGGGTATCAAGTAGAAAATGTAGCGATTGACGATGAAAGGTATTAGTCCCGATAAGAGGTTCATGGTCCAAACTCCAGGTTGGACAAGATAAATAAAGCCCTCCAAATATCAGGAGGGCGCATGTATGACGCCAGCGTATTTTGGCATCGCAGAGGATGATTGGGTCGTGGAAGATGTAGCGTCCAGACCAGGTAGTGATACGGTGAATACAACGCGTGTGATCGGAAGGATCAGACGAGGATGTCGACGAGATCGGTGTCAGACGCAAGCAATGGCGCTGCATGCTTACTCGTCATCAGGGNNGGAGGCGTGGGAGTCTTCACCCTTGTGCACCTTGCGGTGGCGTCTAAGGTTAGAAACGACTGAGAAGTGGCGGCCACATCCCTCAACATCGCATGCGAATGCNTGTTATGGAGTCAGCTAATGTTCATCGAGTTTGTCATGGTACATGTAGGACTTACGCTTCTCGCCAGTGTGGCTGTACATGTGGGTTTGAAGAGAGCTGGGACGAGTGAAGCGCTTATCGCAGATCTTGCACTTGTGCTTCTTCTGAGAGCTCGACGAGACCTTTGAGCTGAATTGACCCATCATCGATTGAGGTGCGGGAGGGAGTGCGACACCACCCGAGAGGGCAGTAGGGCGGGGCAATGTGCGGGATGATGTGTCGACAGACTCGCTTGCCGAGCTGTAGTCTCCATATGAAGCCTCGCTAACGGATCCGTAGTACGATGAAGGATATGTGCTGGCCGACGAGATGGAGGAGTGGGCCGAGTGTGTCGAGGGGAAGCCATATGAGTCGGATGAGCTTCTGCTCGAACCCTGGTTGCCATAGATGTTCCTGGGGGTGATGTCCTGGCTCATGGCAACCATGCCTCTGCTAGCATCAAGAGCATCACTGAAGCTGTTGCGCTGCTCGGTCTCGGTGGAGGGCGCGTTCAGTCTGTTGACGTCAATTAAACTGCTCTGGCGGTGCTTCTGGGCTAGCACGGGGTTTCCAAGGAAGTTGGCGGAGGCTACTGACGGGTGCGAAGAGCGACGGTCCTGGTTGTAGGCGGCGTATGAGGCGGCGGTATTGGGGTACTCGCGGGCATAGTGGGGAGCAGATGTGGGGGCGTACAAGGCGCCAGACGAGGGACCAGAGGTCACATAGGTCGAGCCATATGGACGAGGAGCACTGAGACCGTCTTGGCCTGGTAAGCTGGATTGCGCATAGAGAGCATCCAAAGAATCAATACCTGAAGCCAGAGTAGGAGCCGGCATGGCACTCGAGTGCATGGGCATGGTCACACTAACACTGGGGGCTCTTGCCACCAAGTGATGTGCGCCGGGATCGCTGACCATCGAAGGTTGAGGCAACGAGGTAGCATACATGTGGTGGCTCGGCGCAGGAGCGGCCGACACCCATGGGTTGGTGAAATGCGGCGCGGCGGGGTAGCGCAAGTGGTCGTAAGACAGACCAGAGACCTGCTGGCGGTTGTCGACAGCCATTGCCATTGTGAATATGTGATGAAGATGGGGAGGGGTAGAGAATGAACAATGAATTGGTTGTTGGTGAGGCGGGTGGTAGAGGGATAGGCAGCGTGTGTCGATGGTTTAAGGATCAACGCTGGAGATGGGTTCACAGAACGTGGAGAGGACGATCAGCGTGCGTCCAACGAGGGGATCAGCAAGTTTATGTGTTTCGAGTTTCGTCTGAGAGCTGCAGCCTCAGGTGTCGTGTTCGAGTGCGGGATTTGCTAAGCCTCTGGTGGTGGACTGCCCGAAAAGCTTAAACGCCAGGGTAGAGATGCTAGTGGCAGCAAGAAGCTCGAGGCGATTTCGGACGGAGGGTAGATGAGGTTGGGGTGCTGATAGTGGACGAGTCTGAAAGAGGCAAAAGATTTGTCGTCTTGGGTCTTAAGACTTGTGCGGAGGCCGTAGTCGTTTCAAGTCTTGGTCAAAAGGTGGGCCTGTTCATGAAATGTAGAGGATCAACAACGACGATCAGCGGGGAGCAGAGGTAGAAATACGCACCTGCCTCCAGCGAGTCACCACTGACGTCGACTTACAGGCCGATGTGGCTGTTTTAGCTCCCTGCAGGGCTCAACCTTAGCAGCCAATCGCCGTCCACCTGCCGTCTCCACCACGCCCATTCCTAGCCTTGTCTAGCGCAGCGGCCTCTCTTGACTCGTTGACCTGTGGGTTCCTAGCTGTGCATACATATCTCCGAGCGCAGCGAGCGGTTCAATTGATTGAGATTCACCTTGTGTCAAGGTTTACACTGCCACCTCCACATCTTCTTGCTCCCCTGCTATCTCTGCTGGCCTTGCGCTGCTGACGCTGTCGCTGCTCCAAGCACCCTCTCCTGCCAACAACAAGAGATTGGGAATCTGTCGCTCCGTTTACCTGGAACTTGTCCTGTGCATGGTGCGGCACTATCGACAGACATTTGTTTACCATTCTGTATCTCGCCGACCTCAACCTCGTTCCACTTTGCCATCTCGATGACTGACCTTTGCGGACCATCCGGCGAGTTGACTTTTCAT